TTAATGTGTTATGTACTTATGTATGACTAGTGACTACCCTGCCAGAAATTCTGCGAAATCCTTATAAAATACATCCAAACGTTCGTAATTATCCATCTAATGGAAATTTGGTACTTTGGGGAGTCAACAATATAATTTTTTTAGTAGTTTTCAAAAGTGCCGTGAAAAACAAAAGAAAAATTAAAATAGAACGGGAACTTTTACACACAATCTTTTTCGAAAAAAATAATTTTGGTTTTGGTGCAACCCTTAAATAAATGACCGTAGATACATAAAATGTTGACTGAATGTTTATATTAGCATTTTCTGTACACGATAAAATTTTCAAAATATTATGATTTGATTTGAACTGTTAAGGAACATTTTCATTTTCCATATTTTTTAGTTTTTTTTCTAAAAATATCAATAAAATTGTATTTGTTGGTTAAAAAAGCTTGAAAATTAAATAGAGGGCTATTAGTATATTGTTTCAAAGACAAATGAAAAATATTAAAAATCCTTAGTCACAATTTTTTTTATAAGCATCTAAAATTCAAAAATTGACAAAATATGGAAAAATCACGAAAATTAGCAAATTATTTTGAGTTAAGAATTCGTAAAAATTTTTCTTTGTAAATCTAAGATTTGAAAATGTAATACAAGATTCCTTATAAGATTATCTACCTCTATCAAAAAAAAAATGTCTATAAGAAAGTCAAATTAAATTTTTATGAGCGTTCGAAATTCGTAATATTTAAGTATAAACGAACAAATTTCAAAATGTTCTAACTTAATGGATTTTTTTGAATCAACTGAGAAAAGCTAAGTTATTTCAATTGTAAATTAAACTGTTTAAGTTCATAAGTTGATTAGAAAATAAACTAACTAGTTAGGTTAAAAAGTTAAAAAAAAATTAACTTTTTAACTGAACTTAAACTTTTCAACTAGTTCATGCCCACCTTTGAGTCTAGGTATAAGACATATTGTATACTCTATGGTATTAAAACAAAAATTGAACCATAATTAATTCCAAATTAATCATATCACAATATCCATTAGGTACATATAACTCGTTATACGTCAACAATAAACCCTGTTACTATCATAGATATATAATAGTGTATTAGTGTACTTTAGTTTCAAGTACCCACGAATAATATTATACGATCATAACAAAATAGTTATTCTAGGTTTTTTAATATGTAATTTCGTCCAAATTTTAACTTAAAATGACTTTAAAAATAAAATGTGCTAATGTATTTTTTAGATTTTTTGGTAACAGAATCAAATAGGTACTAACGTGGAATCTTGTTTTAAATTGTCAATCCTTAGATATAAAAGTTGAACATTTTATAAATTTTGACTACACAATAATTTCTCAATTTTAATTTTGATAAATGTTGTCAAAATTCGATCTTTAAATTCTTATAAAAAAAATTGAGGAGCCTTGTATTAAATTTTTACACTTTTTGGCCCAACAGATAAAACTTTATTGATATTCATAGAAAAAAAAAAAAAAAAATTGAAATATGAAAATGTCCGTCAACAGCTCAAAACAAGTCAAAATATTTTGAAAATGTTATCAAATATAAGAATTAATAAAATAAACATTCAGTGAAATGTTCATGTATCTACAGTTATTCGTTTTTGAATTACAACAAAATAAGATAATCACTACATGAAAAATTGAGTGAATATCCAATGTTGTAAAAATTTGAATTTCAAACGTTCATAAAAATTTAATTTGACCTTCTTATAGACATTTTTTTTTTTTTTTGATGAAGGTAGATAATCTTATAAGGAATCTTGTATTACATTTTAAAATCTTAGATTTAAATGAAAAATGTTTTAAAAAAAAATTCTTAATTCAAAATAATTTGCTAATTTTCCTGATTTTTGCAATTTTTGAATTTTAAATACTTAAACCAAAATCGATTTTGCGTAAAAATTCCCGTTTTTCCTTAATTTTTCTTTTTAAATTACTTAAAATGTTGACCTCCTCAATGCACTAACAATATTCACTTTCCCATCGAACAAGATACTGAAGTTGAAAATCGAAGCATTACTTCGACTACCTACTCATCGTGTACATAGACACAAAAAAAAACACACATCATTGTAAAACTAAAATGTATACATTCATCGTTCCACTCAGAATCTAAAATATTATTTATGGAAAGGTACTTGAAATTTTTAAAGTATATTACAATTTTCCTATGACATTTTCAAAATACATAAATTAGTTTATTTATACATTATTATACCTAATAAATGATAATTAAATATTAATTATATAATCAAAAACTAAATTAAATTAACCTACTATAATAATACTAAGAACAAAATATGTTAGGTACTTTAATAGCAATATTACAAAACGTATCATGAAATATCCTTGATATAAGCAGACAGAAAATATCCCCTTAGAATCGTCTTTCGTATGCAATAATTTATCATTGAGTTCAAGTTTAATACCTGCATCTATATTATAGTGACTTGACTTGCTAAATTACAAGGTACAATAAATGGAGGTCCTACTGTTTAGTACCGCAGAGAGGTTACTTATTTTCCCATTTTTTACTTTCGACCCCTAAAAGTACCAATAACTAGATCCAATTTTCTACTAAAAATTTAGAAACTATCCTCAACATAAAGAATATTGCTCCTAAAGGATGACGTCAGAAACAAACAAAATTGTAAAACCAATGCGTTCATCGCTCCACTCAGAATTTAAATTATAATAAAATACAATTAATGATAAAATAATAAAATATACTATTATAGTTCGTGGTTTATTCTCACTTGTCACCTCGTTTATAATAAATGATAACTCTTAACAGTAATTTAAAAAAATATATTTTATAAGAATACTATTTATTAAATTGTATATATTAATATTAATGTAGGTAATAGCATTGATTATATAATCAATGGTAATAGTGATATTAACTGTGAATTTTACTGTTAACGGTTTAGTGTTTTACACAAACGTTATCACGTCACGAATTCACGATTAAAGAAAATCGAATTATTTATGGCCTTAATAATTTAAGTGTGTCGCTATTTACTTGGGTTCAACTGATTTAAGTTATGGATGTAGTCAGTGGCGTACGCAGGATTTATCAATAGGGGGGTGGGGGGGGGGGGCTTGAAAATGAGTAATTTTTATTTTGTCCAGTCTAATGAATTTAGACGTTTATTTGAGGTATTTTAAAATTTTTGTAACTTTTCTGGTAAACAAAATGCTCAGATCATAAGCTTCGATGCCCGGTGTATATTTTTAGAAGCAAATTGGATCTAGTTGGTACTTTTAGGAGGCCGAAATTGAAAATGCTCAGTGCTTTTTAAATAATTAGAGAAAAAAAATGAAAATGTATTAAAAGTGTTTGGTAATCAGCTTGCTTATACCCCAGAAACAGAATAGATTAAAATATTAAATATCTATTCTGTGTTCACACTGTTGTATGATAGCTGTGTTATCCTCACTTGGATTGTATTTGATTAATTAACATTTTTTTTTTTCTATAAATGTCAATAAAAAATTATTCATCCGATCAAAAAGCTTAAAAATGTAATACGTAAGTTTTTATTATAGCTAAAATATTAACGATATATACCTAGTCATCATTGTTTTTTTTTATAAGCATTTAAAGTTCAAATTTCGTCAAAACCACAGTTAATTTGTAGTTCAAAACTTATAAAATATTAAATTTGTATAAGCTAAAACTAGAAAATTGAATACAAGGTCTTTCATACAAGTAGTTAATACTTTTACCTAAAAATTACAGATAATATTAGGAAAATTTGTATGCAAATACAATGTTTTTTCAAAAATGAATTCATTCTGGTAATAGCTTATTATAGTTGACAGTTGAAACTTGATAAATATATTTTTTTAAATAATTTAATAAGGGCAATGGGGGGGCTTCAGCCCGTTAGCCCCCCCCCCCTGCGGATGCCACTGGATGTAGTCATGAAAAAAAGGTTGAGAACCACTGGTATAGTAAATACTCAATAATATTGACTCATAATAATTATTATTTATTAGTCATTATAGTCACCTAAAATATTCCAATCAGCACCTGACGTCCTGAAGACCTGTCTACATTGAGATAAATGATAATTATTTAAATATAAATATAATATTATGATTAAAAGTTACAACTTCAGAGTATATTTTAGAGTAGAATTTACTTAATTACTCCGAAAAATTTGTAGTGGAACTTTAAAGTTTAAGTAAAGTTTAAAGTTGGCTACATCACAATTATTGTAAAAAAATATAGCAGTATCAATGAATTGAAATAACTCATACAAAATGTGTACTGTGTGTCGGTGTACCTAGATATAAAAAATTTAAAAATTAAAGGACTTAGAAGATTGCTATTCGAACGTGCTATTTTATGAACGACAAATAATGGGAGCTGTTATAATAAACTAGCAAATAGTTATTGAATTAAAAGCAATACAAATAGAATAGATAGATAGGTCTATGGTTACGAATAATAATGCGCGGGAATTAGTAAGCAAATTATACACAAGATCGCGCTAGATATCTTGCCACAGCGTAGAAGGTCAGCGGTTCGCTTATCACGTTCGTAATACTGTGGTAGATACTAGATACCAATACCAAATACTTTCAGAGACACTCAGACTGTCTAGAGAACTTAATTATTGTACATTAATTGTACTTAGTAGATAGCTACGGAGAAAATTGATAATGTCATAAGTTTAATGTTTATATTTTATTGACACCCTACAATTCTTGGGCTGCAGTTGCTTGCAAATTAATATCTCAAAAGTAATTGATTTCGAAGATCGCAGGCCGCAGTAGGTACTGAAAATAAGTACTGCGAATATCGTTACTAAAAGGACATATTATATAAAGACTTAAAAACGCCTCATCAAAACCAAAGGTAAGCAATGTCCTTCAATACTTATTGCTTTTAACATTGCAATATCTAGTATAATATTTGTCATAGACAATACTATTAAAGTATAATATTTTAATGTTTAGACAAATCATGAGAAATAAAAAAGACCTTCACATAGCGGGGTGTCTCGGTGATTTAGATAGTAAGACAGAAATACCAGATAGATTAAAGAATTTGGATGTAATATCGTACGTATGAACTAATAATTGAAAGCAAACATTAAATGTAACAATAATAATAATTTTTACAGGCTAAATAAAAAAGCTGAATTGTTGTTTGAAAAAGCCATGACTGCAAATAATGAAAATGATGAAGAAGTTGTATACATTTATTTAATGAAATATTGTCAAATTCTACAAGTTATGAAAAAAACTTTTACAAATGATAAAAAGTATATTGATCTTATGTACAAAGATAATTTAAAAAAAGCTATAAAAATGCTGACTTATATTAAAGAAAGTTTGGAAAGAAGGTAAGTTTTTCTGTTGTTGATTTTAAATGCAATTGTGAAAATTCAAATTTAAAAAAAAAAGGTGGTCAAGTAGTACTACTCTGCCATACAGTATTTGTCGAGCATGTTGTTGTAATGGATGTGTTATATTTGAATTTAATGATAAATAATTGTATTTAAAAAATCATTCTGTGCGGAGACATTATGTCAGCCTAGCATACTTGTATTAATCAAATTTAATAGTTAGAAAAAATATTAATGAAAATCTCATGGCTATAAATAGCATGACTTTCCGGTGAACTTTTCTTTTTGATGGAGGTAGAAAAACTTGTTGGGGACCTTCTATTAAAATTTCTAATGTTAGCTATGAAAAGAAATTTTAGAATTTCTAACTGAAAAAAAATTTAAAATTATAAAAATTACTCATGACTATAAATAGCTCAACTAGAGTCTAAAAGGTTTGAACATTTTTAACACTTAGTGAAGGGTTAATCATTTTTGAATAACAACAGGATATCAAAAATTGATAGATGAAAATTCGTTAACTTACCGATGAAAATCCAATATCATAACAATTTTAAATTTAAATGCTCATAAAAAATTTGTTACTTTCTGGTAAACTTTTTTTTTTTGTTGAAGGTAGGAAAATTTGTGGGGAATCTTCTATCAAAATTTTTAAAATTGATGACGTACAGAAAAAAAAACACATTGTAAAATTAATACATTCTTTCGCTCCACTTAAAATCTAAAACTACACTACTAAGAAATATTTGATAAATTATTTATAACACTTTGCCACTTTTTTGACAAATTTTAATGTTAGGTTTATTCATTAGATTTTTCATAATTGTTCTTTCTTTATATCTATATATAACTAGTCCGGCAACCAATTATTATTATTATATAATAGCTTCAAAACTATGGCAACCGTTTATAAACAAAAATTTCCTTCGAAAATCTCAAAACCCCTATTTGAGCACCTCCCGGGGTTGGTACTCTCCCTTTTTAAATTAGCATATCTTCTGCCCAGAGGTCTAATCTATCTATATATGTACAAGTAGCTGATCCTGTGCACTCCGTTGCCCATTAAAGATGCCAACACTAAATGAATAATATGATTTACATATTAACATAGCAACCATTTATATACAAAAAATTCCATTGGAAATCTCAAAAAAATATATAAATGGTTGCCATAGTGATATGGACACAGACAGACAGACATACATTCATTTTTATACATATAATATATATAATCAAACATGTCCTGACTGACTGACTGATAAACATAGAGCCTAATCTAGTATTATAATAGTATTTATAATAATATTATTATGTACTGATTATATAAATATTTTTTCCGATAAAAGTTTTAAATTCTAGAATCTAATGAACATAAACATTATTCTCAAATGAGATATTTTACTTATTATAATATTATACTTCTAATAGGAATTTTTCTTAAATTAATTAATTTTATTATTTATCTAGAATATAGGTACTTATTACATAATAATTAAAAAATAAAACATTTATATTCAAAAATTGCTGACACTTCTGATCTTAATGTCAATGCATAAATACTAAAATTAAAAATAAAGTTTTTTATAAGTAAATTTATAGTAGATTAGACCCATCTAGCATTAAATTCTAGCATAAGCTATGTGAAAGATATCCTGGTTATCTCAAAGCAATATTTTTTAAATATAATTAATTATGGAATTTAATTCGGTATGTTGGCCATTAAACCTTATTAAAATGTATGTTAATTAAATAAATATATTTAAACGTTTAATTATTTATAAGCTAATAAAAGTATTATTTCAGGTATAATGAAAAAACAAAAGAAGAAGATAATAATAAATTAATTAAACGTTCTAGTCAAAACAGAAAGCGTTTTGAAGAAAAATTAAATTTTGAGTTTGAAAGTACAATAACTAATGAAAACTTATTATATCTGTTGGACAATACAGATAAAAAAAAGATTTGTTTGCTTGACACAAGACCATCAGATATCTTTAATAATAATAAAATTATTTCTTGTGATGTAATTAACATACCAAAAGAAAACTTAGTTCTAGGGTAAAAATACATCATTAACTCCATTATAATATAAAGTACATTATATTAATGAAAAACAATTATAATTTTTAGTTTAACACCTACCATTATAACAAGCAAATTAGAAGATCAATTTAAGGAAATATGGGCGAATAGACACAATTATAATTATATTGTTATATTAGATCAAGGGACAGAAGATATAGATGATGATCAAAGATTGCTTAATCTCAAAAATGCCTTACTTAAATGGGATCCAAATTATGACAATAGCAAAAAAGTAAAGTTCCTCAGAGGAGGTTATGAAGATTTTAATCACTTATGTCCATGGAAAACTACTCAAAATAATATATTAAAATCAAATAAAGATATTGAACCTCTTTCGGATATAGAATTAGATCCAGAACCTGAATATGAAGAACATGAAAGTAATGAATATAAATGATATTTATTTTAACTAAACTTAATATTTTTTTTATTATTATTAGATAAGCAGATTCAATATCCATCTTTAGGTACTGTACAGAATGATTTGGCCAGATTAAAATTTAATTCAACTTTTCATAATGGTTTAACAACAGATATTAAATCAAAATTGGATCATAGAGAAAATTATTCCAGTGAAGAAGATATAGATTCTCAGGAATTAACCCATACTCCAATTAACAAACCACAATTACCCATTTTCGATAGATCTACAAAGGTATTAAATATCAAGATAATTAATTAAAAATAAAATACCTAGATTAAATCAACCAATTTAAACATGTATTTTATACTTTGCAGCCGAGTGTGAAAATTAATCAATTTATGAACCCAGAAATCATTAAGCCATTGTATAAAAATAATGACGAATTAGATGATGAAAATAATGAAGTATTGAAATCCTTAAAATATATTTACGAATATGATTAATAAGTTATTTTAACTACTATTTGTTTCTATAGTTACCAAATAATATTGAACAACTAGAAAATAGAAGATTATCACTAGAAAATAGCTTTTTGGAAAATGTTGATTCTTATGTACGCGAATACAAAAATCAAGTATTATCATTAATATTATATTTTTAGTTTAAATGTTATCTTATTTGTATAATACTATTTATTTATTTTTAGGACACAGATTTAAATTCAATTCCACGTGTAGACCGTTCTACCAAACCATCCGATGATCTACTAATAGTTTCTAGAACAAAAATCATTGTAAGATAATTTTTTTATAGTTTAATCTTTAGTCAAAATAACTTGAATATTTAGGGTAATTATTTTTATGTATGGCACTCATTATTGTAATATTCAGACTTTCTCAAACTGTGGATAGACCAAGCGAATAAATAAAAAAAAAATTTTTAGGATTATTATTAAATTATAATTCACAAGGTAGTAACTGCTCCAACCAATGGAACAATGATAATAATCCTCTCGACCGTCATCTTAATCAAATACCTACATTAAAAATGGTTTTTATGTTTCATTGATTCATCAATTTGAATAGTTTTGTATTTAGTGGTAAAAGACTAATCACGAACAGTTCAAAATCCTTTGATGTTTCTCAATTATTACTTAAGAATTATTTTTGTTATTGAATTGTTTAGGTTTTTATTAAGTAACTAATTTGATATTGATTTTAAGCAGAATATGAATATTTTTAACAAAATGTACTTTCATATACTTTTTTTAGTATTGAATAATATATAAATTAAAGTTGTATGTTTGTATCTAAGGATTTAAAGTTAAAATAAGATGTGTTATGTTCCAAAATATTTTAAATTTAAAATGTAGGTTGTCAAAAAAAATTCATTTTTTTATCAAATATATAATATCAGAGTACTATATTTCAAATTTTTATTCTTAAGATAATTTTATAATAAGTGTTCTATTTTTAAATAATCACCCGCCATAGCAATATTTATACTATGATGTTCAATATGTACTATAAATACTTCTTCAACTACAAATTTGGTACAGCTGCAGTAATTTTTTATTTTGCTGTCAGTTTTTTTTTTTATTATTATTTGAAATAAATTAATAATTTTGATTTGATTATATTCATAGTCTTGGCTTCTTCAACGATATCGATATTATGAACTTTTTTCCACAGATATCTATACTAATACTATATGGATATCTGTGCTTTTTTTCGGACATTATTATCTCAATCAAAATTATTTTTAAATTTTTAACTACTGGCCATTGGGTATTTGGGTTACCGAAACCACCTGATTTAACTTCAGTTTTCAACAACAACTGATTTTGTTTCTTGACATTTTAGGGAGGAGATGGATTACGAGGATTACAAAATTTAGGAAACACATGTTATATGAATTCAATACTGCAATGTTTAAGTAGCACTGAAGATCTTGTAAAATATTTCATAAACATTTATAGTAATTTCACAAATTATAAAAGTAGAACAAAAGGTTTAGTAGCCAAAGAATTCAGTAATGTCATTAAAAACTTGTGGTCACAATCTGGCAGGGGGTATCAGAGTCAACAATTTAAGGTTAGTAAATTTATTAAATTTCACAACATATCATTTTTATGCAAATTAAAAGTTATATTTATATTACATCAATTGTTTTATTTGTAATATAAGCATTATGTTTGCATAAATTAAAATTAAAATATGTGCTTACTATATGTCAAAAAAATTAGGATACAATCGGAGAATATAAAGATATGTTCAAACACTATGATCAACAAGATTCTCATGAGTTTTTAACCATTCTCTTGGATTGGCTTCACGATGATTTAAATCAAGTAAAATATTATCACATAAACCATTATAGGCTTATAATTTATATTATCTATATTTTTAGCCGGAGGACAATAGGGTTATTTTAGGTGCTTCAAAAGAAACAGGCGAAGAAGATTGGGGAAATTGGACTAAAGCAAACAATTCTATTATCCAACAACTTTTTTATGGTCAACAAAAATCAACAGTTTCTTGTGACACATGTTTTGAAAAGTCTGTTACTTTTGAACCATTTTTAAGTCTTAGTCTACCATTGCCATCTGAGGGTAACAAATGTACTCTTTCAGTAAGTTACTTTTGCTTCTTATATTGTCTAAATATAAATATCAATATTGTCAGTATACTGGTTTTTTTTTCAACATTTCCCTAACAAAGACTCACGCCTCGCCACTGTAATTAATGATAATCATTTAATAAATTAAGAATTATACATCTTAATTTATTTTGTTACAGTGATTTATCTAATTTTTACATAATTATTCTTAGTATTTATAATTATACTTAACATTATATCTACTATAAGTTTTAAAATATCTAAATAACATAGCTTTATAAAATCTATTTTGATAAAAATTCAAAATATAAAGTAATTATTACATAGTAATTTTAATTAAACATTTAAAAATGCATTTTATTTTCCAAATAGTTTGTAAAAGTAAAATTACTTTCTTCTTATCAATTTAGTTTAGAAAATACTGAGTTATTCTTTTATCAAACAACACTCATTATTTCAAAAAGTAAATTTTTTTGAGAATATTTATTTACATAGTTTCAAGTCGCTTATAAAACAACGTTTGTTTTAAAAATTTTATTTTTAAATATTTTTTATCCTTATAATTTTTTAAGTTTTTTACTTTTTTGAATGACAACATAGGGTCTGTACAAATTATGCACAATTAGCATATTTGATAAGGGCTTAAAATATAATACATGAGTACGTGATTAAGAAGCCACCCATTAGTGGCACTTGACTGGAAGTTGTATGAAGCTATATGAAATGCTTTAATTGACCCACTCCCATTACATAAATAAGATAATTATTATAAAATAATACTTATAAAACTATAAATTAGCAAATAGCTCAAAAAATGATTAATTCCTACTGATAAATTGACTGAAATTATTTTACTACAATTTTTCCAAGACATTTCAACAAGTTTTTTAATGAGTCCTAGTCCATGTAAATAATTAATTTAAATTTATAATGAAATACAATTAATATACCTACAAACAATTTTGTCTTATAAAATATACAAAAATGTATAATCATTTAAATATTTAAATAATATTATGTTTATAGCTAGTAAAAATAAAAATATAATATTATATAATATTTTAGGATTGCCTTCAGTTATACTTGAATGGTGAATCAATATGTGGTTGGCATTGTCCAAAATGTAAACGAAGCAGAGATGCTACAAAAAAATTAGACATAATGAGACTTCCTCCATATTTAATCATACATTTGAAAAGGTATTTTATTGGTTTTTATGTTTTGATATGAATACGATTATACTGATTATTTAATTATTTAGATTTTCAAGCAATGGTTACAAAAAGAATTCAAATGTTGAATTCCCCAAAATGAATCTTGATATGTCAAATTTTATTAATGGTTTAGAACACCGTAATTGGAAGTACTGTTTATATGGTGTATCAAATCATTCTGGATCACTTGATGGTGGACATTACACGGCTAGTTGCCTTAAAAATTCAATAAACAAGTAATCATATAGTTATAAATTTTCAATTAAAATTAAAATTAAATATTTTTGACATGCTCTAATGCACAATCTATGTGTTTTTTTACAGATGGTATAAGTTTGATGACGTCCGGGTGTACGAAATCGATTCTTCAACAATTTGTTCTCCAGAAGCTTATATTTTATTTTATCGTCGGAAAAATTAATTTTTTTAATTCATAAAACTAACATGTATGTATAGTATTATTTGCGTTTTGTACACAAAGAAGTATTTTATTACAATGTATAATTATTTTTGTTATTAGATGTTGATTTGTTGATATATCACACTACCTACACTAAATTATTTATTTATAAATATCTTATATTTTTTTACAATTTGTATTCAACTATTTTAGTCAAATATTAACCTATGTCCTACGCTTTTTTTTTGACAATCCGTTAAAAAATAATTGAGTTCTAAATAATAAATTAGTTAAATAACAGTTAAAAAGTATATCATATACATTATCCTTGCTCGTGCCAAAAATCCTAACATAACCATTAACCAATTTCATAATTTTTATACACTAAGTCTTAAAATATAATAATTACTTGGTAGTTGGTTTTAATTTTTCTATGTATGTATACAATTATACAAGTAATACTAATTATTTACATTATCGTTCAGTGGTTCACCACTAATAACTTTTATAATTTGTAATACATATCAACTAAAATTCAAGCTGGGAACATAATATTAACCTTGTTACGAAAATATAATGTCTCTAATCCCTATTAATATATAGTAATGTAAACAACAATAAATAGCCAAAAATTGCACGACCTTGAAATAAAAATAAGTTATTATTAATAGTAGTAGTAGTAGTAGTAGTAGTCGTAATAATAATAACAATAATAGTTGTTGAAGCCAATTATAATATCCTCTCAGCAGCGTATTTAGAGTTTGATTAAGGGAGGAATTGATCACCACCCTTTGAAGTTTCCTGTACTTTGCCCCAAAAATTTAGAAAGCTCATAAAATATACATCTCATGAAGATTGTCAGGTACACATGATTTGTTTCTTTATAATATAATCGTAAACGATAAGTCGATAAAAGCCGATATTAGTCGATAATCTTTCGACTACCAAACAAAGTGTGCAAGTTATCTAGTTATTATTAAAGGCTGAGCTTTAACAAGTTTATAAGTTAGAAGTCAAAAGATAAGTTAATTTTAACTTATTAACTTAACAGTAAGTTTGGTGTTTTAACTAACTTAACTTATTTGCCTCTACAATAACTTAAAATCAACTCATATTATTTTTATTTTTCCAATTAAGTTAGTTTTGAATATTCCTATTATCCAGAAAAATATTTTGTTTATATGATGATATTATACAGTTTATATTCGGTTAATTATTATGAGTTCTCAGAATATAGAAAATGTTATCAGAAAAAAACAAGATATATTTACAAAGAAATTCGTATTTATGTTTAAATATAAAAACTTTTAGCGCTCCTAGTGGTGTTTTTTTGTTAGGGCTATCTAAACTACTATAGCCCTACCGAAAAAAACGCCACTGGAGACGGTAGAATCACAGGCCAATTTTCGTGTCCCCGACTATAATAATATATTGTAATAATAAGTTACCTACTTATAAATATTAATATATTATGGGAATCATTAGTCACCCGTATATCCATGCCACGAATTATATTCACTTATCTTATTACCTACCTAAATATTAGGTAGGTACCTCATAAATGCATTTTTTTTTTTATTATTATTAACTTAACTTATTAGGTACCTAATTGAAGTTAAGTTAACAGTATTTGTTAACTTAATTTAAAGTTTAAACTTAATTGATGTATTAAAAATGTCTACTAACTTAACTTTTAATTTAATTAAAAAAAAAAAAAATACTTGACTTAACTTAACCAAGTTAAAAAAATTTCATTAACTTGCCTTGGCGCCACTTATTATTAATAAAACAAACATGATAAACCAAATAATATAATTAGTCACTGGACTAGGCAGAACATAGTTTGAGAACAACAGCAGCTGCTGTATATTTATTGTTCTATTTTTATAGTGTATACTTACGTTAATATGTAAATATTATGTAATACAATTAATTACAATCACTATAATCAGTTAGTGTACAATTCGACTATATGATTTTGGTCTAAAAATATCTTGTTTTATATTATACTAGCTCTCCGAGCGTCGCTGGGGGACACCCCCAGACCCCCGTGACCGGACCCCGAGTGTTGTCGATTTCGGAAGCAGCGGTGGTCTCGTGGTGTGGTCGTGGGTCTCGAGCCGACACGGTATATCGGCGAACAGGTGGTATGCCGATAAGGATGTGTGATAAGGCTAGGACCACTGTGGTTCGACGTGGTAGCCCGTGGTAGCCAGGGCAGAGTCTTTGACAGAGTCTTTTCGACGACGCCGCCGGAAATTCGAAATTTGGTAAAAAATTACTATAGTAATTTTTGTGAGTGTCTAGCAGGTGTCAGTCACCTCGAATAACGTTCGCCGTAGTAATACGGGTGGGCTATCCGACTTTGTGCGACGGCCGAGTTTTATAGCCTCCTTTTTGTGGGGGTGTCTAGCAAGTCAGTCGCCTTCCTCGACGTCACTGCACATAGGACATGAATCATAACGCAGAACCTACACACGATTACGAAAATCTAATATAGTAAAATGTAGTATAAAAAATAATATAGTCGTCGTATTTTTGTGGATTTCTAGCAGTTCGGACACCTATAATGACGTTCGCCGTAGTAATAGCGTTTGGGGTCTAGCGGGTCGGTCAACTTCCTCGACTTCGGTCGTAGTCACCCTGGAAGGCAATCCGACAATATTCGACGGCTGGGGCACGTCATCACGTATGCAATCCGACTGCGTCGAATCGCGGACGACGTTCATTACTGTTACCGAAAAACCAAAAAAGTAATAAATTACTTGAAAAGTATTTAAAAATGTTGGACGTCCATGCAAATCATATAGCCGCAGTATTTTTTAGGGTGTCTAGCAGGTCAGTCACCTCGAATGACATTCGCTATAATAATAGGAGTAGGCTATCCGACTTGGACGGATAGCGGACAATGTGCGACGGCCGGGTCACGTCATCACGTATGCAATCCGACTGCGTCGAATCGCGGACGACGTTCATTACTGTTACCGAAAACGCAAAATTAAGTAATGAAATACGTGAAAAAAAATTGAAAACATTTCGTAAGCAATCCGACTACCGAGTCACCTTCCTCGACGTAATTACGCGAAAATATGTTTTGGGGTCTAGCAGGATCTAGGGTCTAGCGTCGGATAGCGGACAACGTGTGACTTCTGACGCAAAATTAAGTAATAGGTCACGTTCAAAAAAATTGGTATATGTTTTGGTGTCTAGCAGGTCAGTCACCTCCCTCGACGTTGGACGTAGCAACCCTGGTAGGCAATCTGACTTCGTCGGATATAGTGCGACGTCCTGGTCAAGGCATGAAAACGCCAAATGACGTAAATCAAATGTATATAAATAATAACATTTCGGGCGACCGTGCTAGTCCTAATATAGTCGTCCACGTTTAATAGTTTTTGTCGTTTATAGTAGGTAGTAGAGTGATTTAGAAGCGAAACTCGATAAGCTGATTGGGATTTTGTTTCCCCATGATCCTCCGAAAAACACGGAAACGTTTCCGTTAATCATATTTATATGACGAAAAAAAAAACGCGAAAAAAAAATCGAAACTTTTTGTCGCATATTTTCATTTCCGTATATAGTAATAACGACACTGTCCGCTCTCCGATCTCCTCCGCGGCACTCGACTCGAGCGAAGTACTGACTTATACATTTGGCGGGGAACGCGAATAAGCCTTCGACGGTGAAACTCGAAAAAATCGTAAAATGTTCGTTATAATATGATAAGGCCGAAGTGAAATCGAAAAGTAATAATAAAGAAAAAAGTGAAAAAAAAAATTCCGGGGGCCGTGCTACCTATCTACCTACCTACTGAGTTCAGAACGCGATATTCGAGAAAAAAAAAGGAACCTTCGACGCATGCATTTCGATGCCTGTATATAGTAACACCTACTCGACGGTGGTCGAGTAAATGTAGAGGGGAACGCGAATAAGATCCAAACGGGGAGGGCGATACGACCGAAACGGGCTAAAACTCGAATTTTTGAAAAAAACTGCAAAAAAAAGAAAATCGAAGTTTTCGACGAACATATTCACGCCCTTGTATAGTAATAAATAGTATCAAGGACTGCTTTGACGGGGAACGCGAATAAGTCTTCGACGGAGAAATCTGAAGTCAGTAGAGGCGGTAAAACTCGAATTTTGAAAAAAAATCGAACATTTTCGTTAAATACGATAAGACGGAAGTGATAGCGAAACGACGAAAAAAAAAAAAGTGAAAAAAAAATCCGGATTTAACACGGCCGCCGCAAATTTACCGAAAATCCCGGTGGCCGGGTTCGAAACCACGACCCTTGAGTCACCTATCCTAACGCCTAACCAACCTAGCCACCTACTGAGATGAATTTCAGAGTCAAATGTATGACTCTTAAGCCACGTCGCCGTGCACGCGAAAGGCGAACGCCGTTTGGACGGCCGTCAAAAGGCGTTTGAGCGGGCTATCCGACCGCTTCGGCGAGCGGACCTCCGGATCCGCCGCCCTCTGACGTATGAAACGCGAGATTCGCGAAAAAAATCGAACCTCGAGACGCATGTATTTATGCCTGTATATAGCGGTACCTACTCGGTACCTACTCTCGTTTCCGCGACGCCACTCCTCCCCGGGGCTCGTTTTTGAAAAAGTAGGGCCGCGCGCCGGCTATAAATTTAGCGTGGAACTCGAATACGTCGCCGACGGGCAGGTCGGACGTCTCGTAGAGGTGCTAAACGCGACTCTAGTCGAAAAAGTCGAGAAAACCGTCGAAACGGCGACGACGCGGCGCTCTCGGCGATCGACTGGTCCGCCGGGGGACTCGTTTTTGAAAAAGTAGGGCCGCGCGTAGGGTATAAATTTAGCGGGGAACGCGAATAAGATCCAAACGGGGAGGTCGATATGCCCTAAAACGCCTAAAACTCGAATTTTCGAAAAAAACGGCAAAAAACGCGCGCGACGGCGACGGTCGTATCGCACGCGACGTCCGTCGCCGCGAGCCCGCCGGGCCAAAAGTAGGGCCGCGCGCCGACTATAAATTTACCGAGGAACG